ACTTGGTAGCATCTTTTAATATAGAAAATAAGATGAAAACATTTGAAGGAGATTATCATCCTGTTGATCAATAGCAAACTGATGTAGATTTTTTATTTCAATTAATGCTTCTTTGTATGTATTTATCAATGTGACTTCTTCATGCTTTACAGTTAGTAACATAATAGACCTATTATAGAAACTTGTAATCTTAATAACAATATTGGTAAAGGTTAATTTACTTTTTTTTATTTTTTACTTATGTCATTCACAGAAAACCACAATTAAATGTATGCTTTATCCACACATCTCATATTTAAATATTTAATTATTAATTAAAGTAACAATTTGATTACTTAAACATAAAATGGTGTGTTTAGTTCTGAATAAAGTCAAAACATTTCTGTGTTAAGGAGTGACATGATACTACCATTCTTAGCTCTCCAGTTAAATTTTTAAAAGTGAGGAGATTTCATAAGTTATCCTGAGTAATATATAAATTACAAATCTCTAAAGTGAAGTAAATGTTCACTATTGAGCACCAGTACTCAAATCTACTAAATTTACTCCATGATTTACAGTTTGTTTAATAAATGCAAGAAGCAAAGTAACATGGTTAGTTGAAAATATATTTTTAATTACCACAGTAAAATAATTACTAGTCATTGAATGCAAGAGAAAAACATAGCTCCTTAATGATAGCTGTAGAGATTTAATAACACTATTAGTTTGTAGTTACTATTGTAAAATTTAATAGGTATTTGTCAGAAAATATGTTTTTGTCCACAGCTATTCTACTCATTTTTTAAAACACTTGTGGGGCTTGAGGTTATAGTTGAACTGAAGAATGACATTTGGTAAGTAATAGCTTTTTGTTTCTTACCACACTTTAAAAAGTACTCAATAAAGTAATTTTATAATTATAAATGTTTTGATTAGTGTCACTGGAAAATTGCATTCTGTTGATCAATTTTTGAATATCAAACTTACAGACATCTGTGTACATGATCCAGAAAAATACCCACACATGGTAATTTTTTGTAATTAAATGGTGAAAATATAAATAAATAGTTGTATGCATATTTTTCAGAGTTATGTATCCGAATCTTTTATCAGAGGTTCAGTTGTTTGATATGTACAACTTCCAGTTAATTATGTTGATACACAATTGTTACAAGATGCTGCACGTAAGGAGACTACCATTCGATAACATTTAATCAGTTATCAAAAATTAGCTTTTAAGAAGTAAAAATGATTTCATAATATATTTCCATTTAACTTAATTCTGTAAGAACCAAGCTTAAAGTATTATTAATTGAATTTTAAGTTATAAAAGTTTTTATATCCTATAAAATACACTTACTCATTATTATTTATTATTTCTATATCAGTCTTTCAACTTATCTTTTAAGATTGTTTACAATTTTTGATATAATTAGGCAAGTATGGTAAAAAAAATTATATTTGAAAAGTCATCGTGTATATGAAATATAATAATATACTCTATAAGTTTCAAGAAGGTACCCAAGAATAAAAATTTTTCAAATAACAACAAAATAACTTAAATAATTATTCTTGGTTTTTTAATAATTTGTAATTTCATCCAAATTTGAACATGAAAAAATGGTGTTTATACATTTTTAGAGTTTTACAGAATTAACTATTTTTTGTGCAACTTTTTTCAAAGGTTTGATCCTTAATTATAAAAATTAAAAGTTGAACTTTTTATAGATATTTAACTACGAAATAATTTGTACTTTTTCAATTTGATAATTTTTGTGAAAATTTGATCTTTAAATGCTTGTAAAATAAAAATCGTAGTCTTGTATTTTTAATATTTATCAACTAATATTGTAAAAAATTATCAGCATAATTTTATTACATTTTCAAGCTTTTTGACCTAACAAATAAAATTTTATTAACATTTATAGAAAAAATAAAAAATAAAAAATTGAAAATGTCCGTAAGACAGCTCAAGACGAGTCAAAAATTCAAAATATTTTGAAAATGTTTTGAAGTATACGAATTGATAAAATAAACATATTATGGTATAAATTTCAAGTATCTGCAGTTATTTGTTTTTGAATTACAATAAAATAAAAAATCCCTACATGAGAAATCAAGTCAATATCCAATTTGTAAAAATTTCAAAGTCAAACGATCATAAAAAATATTGTTTGACTTTTCTATACATTTTTTTTTTTTTGATAAAGGTTAGACGAAAAATCTTATATTTAATTTCAAAATCTTAGATATATAAGAAACATTTACCAGGGAGATAATTACTTATCTCTGGCAGACCGAAAAACTTATTATTCGTCCCGACGTCGGCCGCATCGCATAGTGCAGATCGATAAAAGAAAAATGCGAGTAGTCTTGGTATTGCGCAATAAATAAACGTCAATTAAAATTTCAATAATTTTTTTATTTTTAAGTATTATTACTAAACACCAAATATCAATGTACAATGGTTATTGCTAGAGAGCTCTAAGCCTTTATTAACGCTCTCTAGTTATTGCCATCTCGTCGTTGTAAATCCTTCGTTGGAAATTACCACGGATGAATTAAATAGTCAATTCTCGATATTATCATCCGTTATTTTAATTTTTATGTTACGTACTTACGTTTTTTATCCAAAAATGGCAAAATCCTGGGGGACCTTTAGGCATTTTCAATGCGTTTTATGGGCTTTCTCGTTGAGTAGCATTTGCGACAATTGCATTCTACATGGCTTTAGTATAAGTGGTAGAACCGTAGAACATAGTTGTCACATAAATAAGGTGACCATATTAATTATTAAGACAACGGCTACACATAATTTATTTAAAGTGGTTAGACCTTGAACATATACCGATAGAGCGCGCCGCAGTGATAAATTAATAAAATATTAATTGTTAATAAATTAACATCAGCACTGGATTGAGTTTAGGTCCCGCAGGACCAGGGTCGTATGCATGGATTAGTTGCTACTCGGTATACCTTCGTTCATCAGTTTTTACGTCGCGCGTCGTCGACGGGGACGGGGACAGCTCACCGGATATCACGATCATAGCCTAAGTCCCTATTACAAGTATTCTGTTATTAAATCCGATTTTATTTAAAAGTTTCTCCATTTCACACTTCTCGCATGTAAAATTAAGTTAATAAATTATTAATTTTTTTTATTACCTTACAGATGACAAAAACGGTTTAGCGCGGGATAAACTCAATCAAGCTAGTCCAGGCTAAGCAACAATATTTTCATACTATTTACAAATTCTTTTATAACTTGATATATATATTTTTAAATATAGTATTTCTTTCAGAATAAGTCAACCACCTTATCGTCCTTATCAAATTTCCCAATAAGCCGCTGGGGAGGCAAGTGCTAAGCCTGCCTCCCCTTAAACACGCCTGTGGTTATATATATTAACATTTAACGTTTATATATTTTCTTTGTAAATTGCAGTCAGTCGTAAAAATGTATAAAATGAAAAAAAATAAACAATAACTCGTAAAAAAAAAAACTTTTGAACTTTTTGTTCTATATAAATCAATATAGTATTTTAAATTTGTATTTAAGATTTGAATTGAAACAGTGAATTAAGGTTTTTATAATAACAATTCAAAAATATTTAAGATACATGAGTACCTTTGATTTTTTCTTGTAAGCATTTATAAAGTGTTGATAAAATTCATTATTATCACAAACATTTTCAAATTATTATGGAATTAAAATGTTACTTATAACTTATTTCATACTGTAACCAAAAAAATTTAAAGATTATAAACGTTGTTTTTTTAAATAGAAATTTAAAATTATATATATATTTTAATTATGTATAACCTATTCAAACAAAGAATGACGATTTTAGTTGTTTGTTTTGTAATTTAAAAATATTTTTGTGGATACTTGAAAGCTAAATATATAGCTACTTGTTAAATCAAATAAAATGTTTTAAAAAAAAATTAATTCAACCTACTGTTTTACTAATAGCAAAATAATTTCATTTAGTAGCAATACTAAAATAAAATATACTTATTAACTAGTAATGTAGGCTGACAGTCTTCTCTAAGAATCGTTTTTCGAATACAATTATTTAAAAACATTTGTAGTGTGAAATTAAAAATACACGTCATTACAAAAAATAGAAAAAATAAGAAATACAATTTTTAGACCAACTTTGTGTGAGATACAGATGTCGTAAAAAAATTAACAGCTATGTGTGAAACTAATATTTACTGTAGTGCAGGCATGTCAAACACGTTACATAGTACTTACTAGTTTTCCAATGGTTAATTTCATTTCATTATAATACCATTTCCGCACTCATATATAGTCGTATACATAGGTAGGAATTAAGTAAATGTTGCAGCTGAAGTAAAATCCTGGAGCCACCTATGAAACTTGATGACATAGAATTGAATTCATATTTCAATAAATAAATACCCAAATTCTACAGATGTGCATTTGAAAATTACTTTCACTCCTTTATCTTGCCACTGTATCACATTATAAGATTAATACAGTACCTTCTGCACTCAACAACCTTCTATATCAATCTAATCATAGAATACAGACAATACCATACTCGAGTCAAAAAACTGTAATTGGCGGCCAACTTTAACTCCTAACCACAAGGCAGGAAAACTGACAGTACTCAGTAGGAGTAACACACATGTGTCGCCAGTCTCCAAAATAGCCAGCACCAAGTATATTTAATAATACCAATAGAGTATAGTAACATAATTTAACATGATATAATAAAAATACAGTACAAAATAAGTGCTAATTTATTAAAAAAGATAATCATGTCATACATCATCAAATAGCTTATATAGAACAACAAATTTTACTTAACAAAGTTCATTATTCCTTTCCCATTTAAATGTTATTAAAAGCAAACAGTTTTTCCTCAAACTTATTAATTTTGGTATACTCAGTCAGTATAAATAATACATTTATCTTACTAGTTTATTAAATAAAAAGATTTAGAATTTAAAAACATATTCATGATAAAAAAAGTGTAGTAAAATATAAAAATAAATGTTGATTTTCTGATTAAATTCTTCATTGGTTTTTTAATATTCTGAAAAAAATTAATCACAAATTATAAATTTTAATTAGCATTTATATAGAAATAGAAGATAAGAATAAGAAATTATGACTTAAATTGTATGGAGTAAATATAAAGTAATTAAATACAATTCAACATTAGGGTCCATAATATCCAAATATTTAAGATCAAAAAAATTGAAAATATATTATACTAATATACTCAACAAAAAACATTCAAATATTCTCTTAAAAATTAGGAAAACCGAAAAAAATTGTTTTTATTGTTTTTTTATTTTTTCATTTATTAGTGAATGCCAAAAAAAAATGTAGTTAAAAATTAAAGTTACAATATAATATAAGTACTTTTTCTTGGAATTTACAAATTCCCCCAGAATATGCCAAAAGAATTCAAATATTTCACTACCACCAAAATATTTTCAAATTAAAAAAAAAAACTATCTGTAAACATGCGAGTTGAACAAATCATTCATATTTTATACTTTTATATGCATATTTACAATACTAATACCATTAAAAACTGATAAAAGGCCAAAGAGGTTAAGCGACATAAGGTTATTATAGGAGAAAACCAATATTAACAGCTCTTAAATGTACAAGTGCTAGTATTTTTTCATTTAATAATGAAATATTTTATTTTTCTGGATTAGCAACATATAACAGTTGTGTGGGCTATCCAAAAAACACATCTCAACCTGCCATTGCAAACTATTATAATATTGCTTATGTAATATTTTTAACTTTGATACAGATGACAAAATTAAAAAATTGAGGTCAATAAAATGTTGATATTTAAAAAAAAAAGTTAATTCAAAATGCCTAAATACACCAAAACAAGTATGAAGAAACTTACTTAAGTTGTTGACATATGGCTTAAACAATTTCTATTTGGACGTATTGAAAATCTTGGGCTTTGTGGTACAGTAACGGGTCTTCTAGATTTTCTTATTAATACCGGCTTGTATTTTTTGATTGGTTCTGGTTTATGAATAGTTTCTTGTCGCAAATTTTTGATCAGAAGCAATTCTTGTTTTTTCATTTCTTCTTGTCTCTAAAATAGAATAATCATAAGAAAAGTTAAATATAATAATATATAGAGTAGCACTATCACCATTCTTTTATTTTCTTCATACTGTGAAAACTTCTTCTTCATTTCAAGTTCAAAAACCATCCATTCTTGAGCACGTCTTTCGGTATTTAAAAATACATTTTTTGGTTCAGTATATTTTTTTTCATGCTTAGGAACAAATGGTTTTTTTTTTAAGACCGTAGCTGGCCGAGCTTTAAATGACCGCTGTTGCTCTGTACATACCACACTCTATAAATAACACAATAAAAATAATATTTAATTTCTCATCATTATTTAAGTGTTAGTTTTTATAAATATAATTATACTTGAGGTTTGGTAGCACACAATTTACGAGATTCAAAACTAAATGGTTTTGGAATAGTATTTAATTGTTTTTCAAGAACTCTAATACCACTATGAGCCAGTTCTTTGTTTTCAACCACTTGAACTCCGCCTTGAGAGTTGAGAACTTTTTTCTTTCGAGATTTGTATGGCTAGAATTAATAATATAATACATTTCTAGCATAGTGTTAAATAACAATAAATTATACTACCACTTTGATATTGCTTGTAGGAATATTTGTATTTAGCTTATTTAAAATTGGTTTGGTTTCATAACTGCCACTAAATTAAATTATACGCCAATTAAAAAAAAAATGCAAAAGGTTTCAATGAGAAATGCTTACTGTGTTGGTTTATTTTCAATGATATTATGATCATGAATGGGGCTAATACTTGGCTCAAAAGCATCAGGGAAGAGACATCTAGATTTAAAAACCTTAGAACCTAAAACAATTTAAAATGATCAAATATATCATGTTTAGTTACGGTATTTTATGTTTTAGTTATTATAGTACTAAATTTAACTTTTGTAGCACGCATTGCAATAGATGATTGATATATATATAAAATGTCCCACTAAATGATGAAAATGCAAAAAAATATATTTTTGGTGTACCAATTTATTTTAATGAAGCCTGTTACAATGTAGGAATAAAAACTACCCACAACCAAAGTGTATTTGATAATAGAAAGCACAAAGACAATAAACGAGCACCGGATGAAAGCAACTCATCAGCGGAAACAGTGGGTTAAGAATGAAACCTAGGAGGTGTGTTGTTGAAGAAATTCCTGACTTTTTAGCAATACTTATGAATTTATATGAACTTTTAACTAATATAGAATTATCCTGCAAACCTGATTTAATGTGTTCATGATGTTTGTACTCAGATTTAACAACAGAATGAGTACAAAAATCTAATTTAGGTGTACTTTCCAATTCATCTAATCTGGTAATCATAGCATGGTGTGTGATTTTTGGTAACTCTATTTCATTTCCTTCAACAGTAATAGAGTGTCTATTAGGTAATTCCGATGTTTTTGACTTCTTTGCAGAACGAATTAATTGATAAGCTAATAAACTGTTAAAACATAACTTAATATAAGTATTTATAATATTCGTGAAGTAAAATTTGAAAAGTACAATATTCACTTGATACTTAGATCATCAAACTGGTCATAAGGTAAAAAATTATCTTTATTTTCCTCTGGAACATCATTTCTATTCATTGTTGATTTTTTGACAATCTCCAAATTCTGTTTAGATACAGCACTTTCCATTTCCTCAACATAATCTAAAAAAAAAGAAGAGAAAAACAAATATAATTGATGAGTTTGAAATTAAATATTTTATAATGGATAGGCACTATTACAGATATAACATATTGCATCAAAATCTCCCATAGTATACAAAAATGTCTAGAATTACTTTCATTGTTATGATTTTTTGCATAAGAAATAACACAATAATATTTATACTTCCTTCAAAAACAAAAGCATTAGTCTTGTACTGCAAACATATCAGCAGCAATGATATATTACCAAAATTTTCCCCCTAACCAGTACAGTAATACTGTTGTCCTATGTATAACACACATTTAAACAGCCAATGACCGTTAAAGCACCAGCGATCTTGTCTGACCATCAGTTTCATCTTAGAGGGAGATGTATACTGCTAGACTCAAACTGATTACCGCATGATGGCTTCTCTTTGGAATGGAATATTGTATGGTATTAAGTAATATCAATTAAAATAATGATAAATAGAAAAATAACAAAAATAATTATAGGTAGGTAACTAGTCTTCAGTATACGTCATTAGGACAATTAATTACATTATAAACAATGAACCATATAGTATGTTGGTAAAAAAAAACTCAGATGAAATAGAAATAGGATCAGTTATGGTATGTCTTAGCACTATAACACACTAAAACCAAAAGATTTAACTACAATTTAAAGTACCTATTATATTTATATATAATAGGTATATATATATATATATATAACTTTTTCAGCCAGAAATTAAATTAAATTAGTTTGAAACTATACCTTAAAGTGATGGTTCTAGTATTAATGCACATGTTAAATTTCCAATATTGTGTGTTATTATTGAGTGTATAACAAATAACATATAATAAATTAAATTATGTTATAGGCACCCTTGTTTATTGTTATCATTGTTGTTTGGGTATCTTACAATAAATTATCTCAAGTAATTAAAATTAGTACTAGAATTTACAATGTTTATTGCGAACAAATATTTTATACTATCAGACAATGGTTATAAACAACCACAAATTAGGTACTTCAGGTAGTTACCACGAATCACAGACACCTAATACCTCATTTTTCATATGTTCGAAATAGTGACTACCTATAAAAAAAAATTATTTGCCTTCTCCAATGTAGTGTAACTTCAAAATCCCTGCAAAATGTAGCATACCTACACTTACTTACCAATAATTTTGTCAGCAATGTCGTCATTGGATTTTGCAACCCCGTATAGGTGAACAAGTGTCTTGGGAGCGTCAAATTCAAACAAAGTATTGTCGTTGTTCATGGTTATGATTTTTTTTATCTTGAATACTTCCCTACAGAAATGCCTGCAGACTATTCGGCTACTGCGACAATAAATAAAAATTCGAAATGCAGCAACCAACTTTGGACGACGTTTCCGTCTTACGTATAAAACTGTAAGTATCAGCCAATCTAAACTTTCGATAGTCCTATGAAATTTCCGTCACTTTATCAATTTGTCATTTTCATTAAAATAATTATTATTGACTACCTATTATTCGTTATTCCAAACGTTCGAAAAATCAAAAAGTACTGGCGATTACCCGATTGTTTGTCAGTAAGCATTGCTGCCAACAGACTCTCGTGGCTTGAACGATTATCCTCAATGACAAGGAGATAACACGTCATTCGTCGTTCATAGATAATTGATATGAGCGCCCTTTGGTGGCTCCACTGGTCAGTGGTCACCCTCACCATCTTTTACTACATACAAATAAACAAATTACGGAATAGGTGAAAATTCTGTTAACGGAATAAAAATCCCGTATAAAAATATAAGAATTAAGACCTTCCAACGTTACCTATTGTCAATTGTCATGTACAGTGTAATACTGTAGTGTACTAGTGTGTACCATAGATATTAAAGATTAATATCTATGGCGTGTAACTTTGATTAACTATTATGTGTATGAGGTAACTAATAACTGTCTGTATTATTTGATGTATATCCATCATTCGAAATATTTGTATATGATGATGTTTTTAACTGTGAGTAGGTAGGTAGGTATCTAGTTTCATTACCTAATTATTGTTTGATAATTATCTTATTATTATTATTATTAATTGGATTATTTGACGTATTCGAAATATTTTTACATGCTGTGTATTTTTTATTTTTGTGTCTGTCATCACGGTTTGGGGGCAGTAAAAATGCTTCGATTTTCAATGGCAACTTACCTCTTACCTGGTAGGATAGTGAATCTTGTTAAGACTTTGGGAGGTAAAAAGTAAAAAATTCAAAATAGTTTTCGAATGCGGCAGGAAAAACAAACAAAAAATTGATGAAAAACTGCAATTTTTACGAAAACCCGGGTTGCGATCAAATCGATTTTGGTTTTTGATGTCTTTAAAAAAAAAATATCGTAGATACATGAAATTTTCACTGAATAATTATATCTTCGTTTTCTATACACCATACAATATAAAAAATATTTTGACTCGTGTTAAACTATTTGTAGGCATATGAAATTTTCGATTATTTGTATTTTTTAAGCTAGCCACCTACCGTTGATAAGAAATTTTTCGCTGTGTCAAAAAAACTTGAAAATGTAAATCAAGTTTCCTCGTAAACTATTGTTAGCAGAAATTAAAAAAATCTAGCTTAAATCCACGATATTTTTTTACGAGAGTTTGAAGTTGACATTTTTACAACATTGGATATTCACTCGATTTTCGACGCTTGAAATGTATACCATATGTTTATTTTATCAATTCATATACTTGATACAATTTTCAAAATTTGTTGACTTGTTATATAAGCTGTTGATGAGCATTTTCAATTTTCATTTTTTTTTGTTTTTTTTTACTATAAATGTCAATAAAATTGTATTCTTGAATCAAAAAGCCTGAAAATTTAAAATAAGACTTGATGTATTATTTCAATAGCAGTTGAAAAATATTAAAAATGCATACGCACAATTTTTTTATAAGTATTTAAAGTTCAAATTTTCAATTCTTATAGCTAAAGATTGAAAATTTAAGACAAGGTTCCACTTAAGCAGATTTTTCCCCAACTAAAAAAATTATAAATACAGTTATTTTTTACAAACATTTTAAGTTCAAATTTGGACAAAACTACATATTAACACAAAGAATAACAATTTTTGTCATTTTGTTCCAAAACAGCCCAATTTTACATAGGCAATAGGCATATTCAATGTTTTTCCAGTATTACTGATAATTTAAGAATAATTTTAATTCAACTCATTGACTACCTTATGAATAGCAAGTAATAACAATATAATATATCCTAAACTGACATACCATCTGCTCAGATTTGTTTTTACTTTTTCATTTACAATATTGTATCATTGAATTTAAATTTAATACCATCCATTACAACTACCTTCTAGATGTGTAATGCACAGCAGAGCGACATCCACTTAATGGCTTTTTAACTTTTAATACCTACATTCATTAACTGTTGTTTGATAATTGTTTTTATTTTTATTTTATAATCTTTTAAATATTATTTGTGCGTCTATATAAAGTAAAACTCATAAACACTCCTCTTAATAATATTATATTGATATTATAGGAAACATAACATTTGACATTTTCATTTTTTATTAGCTACATTAACATTTTTGATTTATTAACTCATTTTTTCTTGATAAAATAATTTTTACTTTATCATTATAAAAATGATTTTTCAAGAATAGTTTACGTCTGTGAACTCTATAATATAGGCTCAGTAAAAATTTCTTATTCTTTTATTACATTGATTCTGTGGTATACTCTAATTCGTCTATGCCAAAGGTAACTAGTATATAATTATTAAATGTTGTTCTCAATAATTATTATTTATTTAAAAATTGAAAATATATAGAATGAAGCAATATTTTTATACTTTTATTTTATTGACGTACATTGTACTCAATACCAAACTAATTCGTACAAATACATTTTATATATACCTCAAATGTGAACAACTTTGGTAAATCAACTCATACTTTGGTATGGCATATCTTATGATGTAATATTAGTCAAGAAAATATCTATATTGTAAGTTTTCATTTTAAAATACTCAATATACATACCTGCATAATGTACATAAGCAAATAACAGTTATTAAACAGTACTTTATAGTAGTATTGATACTAAGAATTTTAAAATAAAATTTACAATATAAATATTACATCATAAAATTAAAAATACAGACCATATCAATGTATAATTAAACTTACTAAAATTGTTCACATATAGGGTTTAAACAATTTCTATATGGATGAATTGAAAATCTTGGGCTCTATTTCACGATTTGAACTCGACTGATTGGCTATGCCAATGATTTATATTATTGTACTCTATGTTCCTGTGTTCTGTCTACCTAAGCAAATTCATCAAGCGTGACATAAATGACGAGTCAGTAATCTAAAAATTGTTACAGTATCTAAAATAAAATAAATTAAGTCAAATATAATAATACATAGAGCAGCAGTATCATCATTCTTGTATTTTCTTCAAAAGGTGAAAATTTCTTCTTTATTTCAAGTTCAAAAACCATTCATTCTTGAGCGTTATTTTTTTTTTTGCTTATCCTGAGGAACAAATGGTTTTTTTTTAAGACCCTAGATTCACGAGCTGTAAATAACCACTTGAAAAAATGTTTTCAAGGGAACTCTAATACCACCACAAGCTAGTTCTTTGTATTCAACCACTAAACCACTTGAACTCCATGAAGAATTGAGATAACTTATCTTTTGAGGATTGTATGGCTGAAATATATAATATTATACATTTCTAGCATAGAATTAAGTAACAATGAATTATATTACCACTTTGATACTTCTTATAGGAATATTTATATTTAGGTTATTGAAAATCTGTTTGTGAATTGTGAAGTAAAATTTGAAAAGTAAAATAATTGATTGATACTTAGATCATCTAACTGATCATCAGAAAAATTATCTTTATTTTCTTCTGGAATATCATTGTTGTGCTGCTTGCAAGTGCGGTGTTGTTTTTGCTAATTTTTAGAAGAGCAGCTTATCTTCACGATTTCTAATTGTATACTTGTCAGATGATATATTACATAGAGAGAGGTTAACCACTATTAGTAAATTAATTATTTTGCACTTACGATATTTTACATTGAGAAAGGTTAATTTATTTGTACGCTATTTCGTAAAGACAGTGGTTTTGATAATAGTTTAAACATTGTGAAAGGTTGATGTATCCTATACTATATTATAATATAATATATTTTATTACATGTTTAATATAATATATTTTATTCCATGTTTAAAATAATATATTCTATTACATGTTTAATATAATATATTCTATTACATGTTTAATATAATATATTTTATTCCATGTTTAATATAATATATTCTATTACATGTTTAATATAATATATTCTATTACATGTTTAATAGTATATGCGGAGATTTCAAGGCCCATAACACCTCCCTGCTAAAAAAAAAGGTTTATGTCTGCAAGACAGAAATCTTTACAATTTTTGTTTTTTATACGTTATAACTATTGTCACATTACATCATATTTTCATGACAATTTTACAAATTTTCATAGTCTGGAAAGCGAAATTAAATTTTGTTATACGTTATATTTTTTTGTAAATCATGGCATATGTCATTTACAATTGGTTTCGTTCTAGAGTTCACATTTTATTTATTCTCTTATAATAATATTCATTGATTAATTTATAATATCATACTTAACTATCAGATGATTGTGTTAGTATAGGTATATAATGGGAATAATATATTATTTCCTATTATATAATAATGATTAATAACAACGTTAATAATAATAAGTATTCATTTCCTTTGGTGTTAATATAAAATAATGTTTATAAAAATCCTTCACCAACTAATATAATACATGTGAATAATATATCTAAAATCATTAAATTCGTCTGTTAATCATTTATATATATATTTTTTGAATCATTTATTGAGGGTAATTAAGTATGTACCTCCTAGGCTAGGTTAGGTCTTGTGTCATTTAGATTATTTTCAAAAGTTCCTTACATTCCCCCTTACAATGATCCTTCATAAATAGTTCAATATTTCTAGTTATTTAATTTAACCGTTTAAACACAAAAGGTTGATTAATCCTTTTGTTAGTTTTTATTAGATGTCAACACATGCATATCGAATTTCATTTCATCTTCCTTATGACCTTATATATATATACATATATATGTGTATTTTGATGCCTACGATATTTTTTTAATTTTTTGATGAATTTGTATCTCCAGAATAAATGTTATGTATATTAATAGGAAACCCTTTACAGCGCATTAGTGTTATTATGTTATATCATTATATTTTTACTCGTAGTTAATTAATTTTTTTGTTTTATTATATACGTATTTAAAAAAAATTTTTTTTATCTTCGTCCTTTATCCCTTCTATATAATCTATATAATTTAATGGGCCTTATTTGAGTAACAACATAATTAAAAATACACTTTGTTAAAATTACATCAGCTACTGGATTATGACAATGCGTTATATTGTGATCTATATCAGTATTTCTTAACCTTTTTGATATCACGGAACACCAAACAAATATATTGTTTTTATGCGGAACCCCTATGAAAATTATCTTTAAAAAAGTATAAATGATAGATGATGTAGATAAAGTGCTTTCGTAGAACCCCTAAGTGAGAATCGCAGAACACAGGTTAAGAAACACTGATCTATATTACACACTAGTCCATGTGTCTCAAGTAAATTCAACATCTTGCCATTTTTATTCATTGTTCCTATGTACCCCGAATATAATTGTTCCTTACCAGGGGCGGACTGGGGCAACATTTTGGCCCGGGAAATCTATATTTTGACCCGGCCCTTGCCATTTTTCGTCATCACAAAAATGTAAAAACTTAAATATACCAACATTTTATTCAATGAGGAATGCAGCCTCTACACATTTTCAATTTTCCCAGAAAACAACTTAAGATTTTTTTTTTTT